CTAAAAATTTACAGCCAATTTTGAAAAAGATGCATCTTAGCTCAGAAAAGTGTTATTGAATATGTCAATGCTGTTGTAATGAAATGCCTCTTCTAAGTATGTGGTTATTAAATAAATAATTAACTGGGAAAAATGTCTTTATTATAAAAAAATTTTTACAATAAAATCCAGGGTGAGAATAATTTGAATGATTATATAAATTGTTTACTTGAAGCAGTTTTTCATGATTTTCAAACTTTTCTTTGGAAAACAAAAATTGTCTTTGATAATACAAATTCCCTTTGAATTTTGCTCATAGTGTTTTTAAAAAAATTAACTTTTTAAGTTAGGCCGGGCGTGGTGGCTCTCACCTTTAATCCCAGCACTCAGGAGACAGAGGCAAGTGGATCTCTGTGAGTTTGAGGCTAGCCTGGTCCACATAGTGAGTTCCAGGCCTGCTGGGGAAACTCTGTCTCAAAAATACCAAAAACATCCACAAAAAACAAACAAAAAAATTTAACTATTTAAGTTGAATTTAAGTGAGACTAAAATAAGGTGAAGAAGATAGCACATAAGTACTGATGCTATTATTTTTATATTTGTTTTCCTGACACAGGAAAGTTTCTGTTAATGTTGCAGTCTGTTAAACGAGCCTTTGCTATCGACAGTAATAATCCATGGTTGCATGAATGCTTAATTAGATTTTCTAAATCTGGTAAGTATAAAAAGGTGTAATGTTTCTGTATATGTAACTATGAGAAGCAAATATAAGCCATCTTTCATTTAGCTAGACATTAAAGAGACTTGAAGCTCTGTAAAGCAAACAAAGGATAATGCTTTAACATATTCAAATGATGGATGGTGTGCCTATAATTAAACATTTAGCTAAAAATGCTAGAAATTAGTGCATTTCAGATTAGACTGTGGTCCAAAGGATTTTTACTCTGTGTGTGTGTCTGTGTGTGTGTGCACATGCGTGTGTGTGTGTGTGTGTGTGTGTGTGGTGTATCAAGTGTAACTAAAAGTTTTTAGTTGATTTTTTTTACCTCTCCAAAGGACAGATGAAAAACAAAAACCCAATTTTTTTGTTTTTGTAGTATCTAATCATAGTAATCTTCCAGACATTATGAGCAAAGTTCTTTCTCAAGAAATGCAGAAACTATTTGTCAACAAAGATTTGCACAGTTTTAATGAGGATTTTCTCAAACACAACACTACCTCTCTTCAGCATCGACTTTCAGGTTTGTATTTAGCAATCATGGTTAAACTTTTATAGGCAACAGAATGGTGATAAACATTTAGAAAGGTATTCAACCTGGTTAACTATCAGGAAAAACAAACAAAAAACAAAACCACAGGACCATTTGTATCTTTTTCTTTTTCTTTTTTTTTTTTTTTTTTTTTTTTTTTTAAACAGGGGCCTCCTGTAAGCCCCAGCTCTCCTGGAACTCACTATGTAGACCAGGCTGGCCTTGAACTCACAGAACTCCATCTGCCTCTGCCTCCCAAGTGCTGGGACTACAGGCATGCACCACCACGCCCGGCTTGTATTTTTTTTTTTTAATGTTATCTCTCTTTTTTTGGTCTTTTCGAGACAGGGTCTCCCATAGACCCAGCTGGCCTGGAACAGGCTGGACTTGAACTCAGAGATTTTCCTGCTTCTGACTCTGCCTCCTGAGTGCTGGGATTAAAGGTGTGTGTCACCACGCCTGGCTCATGTTATCATTTTTTAAATTTTATGTATATAAATGTGTTGCCTGCATATCTGTAAGTACACTACATGCATGCAATTCCCTGCAGAAGCCAGAAGAGGGTGTCAGATCTTATCCTCTACACTTCGGTTAGTTGTGGGTTTCCGTGTTGCTCACCATCTGTTGCATGAAGAGGCTTTGCTCATGAGAGTTGAGAGATGGCAATTAATATTCTCTGTACCCCTGTTCTACTATATTCAGTGAACCTTAGGTGTAGAGGTTCCATTGTAGATGTGTCTCTTGGGGCTGGGGATCTCACAGACACTTGTTTTCTGTGTATGACCAGTTGTAGAATTTTATAATAATCTCAATCTGTTGTAAAAGGAAGCTTCTTTGATGAGTGGTAACTGGTATACTTGTCTGTAAATACAAGGATCCATATTAAGCATACAGTAAGAAATTATGTTTGTTTAGGGATGTGACAGATAGGGTTTTCTCTAGGCTCTGTGACCTCTCCACCTATGTGTATTTGGCTATGTTTACAGTGCCACACATGAGTTCCCTCCCTTCGAGTGGGCTTTATGTCCAATTAGCTAGTTGTCGATTACCCCCAAGGTAAGAGTGCTACTACTGCACCGATAGTTTGCTGTGCCAGTCTTTGTTGTGATTATTAGACTTTAAAGCTGGGGTTGGGCCACTGATTGATTTTCTCCCTTAGCAGCTTGCATAGTATCCTCCAAAACTATTGAGAGCTAGTCTTCAGGGAGGAGGTTTCCAAGTCAGTTCCAGCTCCATTTCTCTAAGTCCTGTGTTCTAAGTATGTCCTGTCTTCGGCAGTATGGTCTTACCTTCAAGTTCTGGGAGATAATGAAATGCTGTGGCAATAGCCTGTGTTATTTTGAGAGTCTCTTGGACCACCCTGACCAACAACTAGAAGGGAAGTTTCTCCTGTCTGGCACTGTGTTTCTTGTTATATAGCCTTCAGCTATATACATGAGCTCATGAACAGATATTGTATGTGTATCTTTTAGCAGGCTTTTGAGCTAATACATTTCCCTCTGATTTTTCACACCACCTATAAGCATTTTTCATCTTCCTGTCTAGCCCTTTCTCTTCCCTCTCTAAAGTACCCCCATTTTTCCCTTGATAATACCTGTCTCCTATTATCCTACCTTCTCTTGAGCGCCTTCCACTCTACTACTATGGTTCTTTGTATATTCTTTCCTCCTTCCTTCCCAGTTAAATGCCCCCTTCCCCCTTTTCCCGGTTTCCCCCTTGGTAACAGCTGTCTCCTATCCCCCTCTCTCTGGAGCTTCCTTTCCCTTTCCCTTCATGGTTCTTTTCTATATTCCTGGCTTTCGCAATTATATCAAGATGTAGATTCACATAAAAGGATTTGGTGCTAAGAGCCACAAATGAGAGAGAGCATATTTTGCTTTTTTTTCTGAGTCTGTGTTACTTCACTTATAACACACTTTGTTCTGAAGATGGCTCAACAGAAAGATTTGACTTCCACTTATGTGGAAGCTGCACTGGGAAGTCTTTATCCAAGCATGGATGGTGACTTCCTCACAGCCACACAAAATAGCAAGAGCTGGTTTATTATTTTGAAACAGGGTCTCACTGTGTAGCTCTGTCTATGTAGACTAGGCTAGCCTCTAACTCACAGAGACGCATACCTTTTCCTCCCGAGGGCTGGAATTTAAGGTGTACACTATCACTTGTGTTTGTTTTGAGATAGTGTCTTAGATAGCCCAGGCTGACTTCCAATCTGCTATGTAGCTGAGGGTACGCTTAAACTCTTAATCCTCCTCCCTCACCTTCCAAGTGCTGAGATTACACTTACCTAGTATAGTTATAAATAACATCTATGATATGCAGAAATGAACAAACAATAAATCTCAACTTTGTAAAATTATGTTTGGGAAAAGGGTGAAAGGAAGTTTATGCTAAAATTTTAATGCAACCTTTGAATATTGTGATTATGAGTAATTAATTTGTCTTGAATTATTATTACTTTATTTTTTGATGGAGGGTTTCATGTTGTCCAGGCTGGCCTTTTGTAGCTGAGGATAACCTGGAACTTCCTCCTGCCTTGTCTTCCTGAATGCTTGGGCTATAGCAATGTGCCATTATGTCTGGTTTTATACAGAGCTGGGGATTGAACCCCAGGCTTTGTTCAAGCTAGGCAAGCACTCTACCACCTGAGCTATATCTGCAGCCCTGTGCTACATATTTTCTATCTTGAAAATTTAGGTGTATCCTGTCTTGTTATCAGAAGGATTTTAGGTAGCTTATACAGATTCATATGATGTCAGTGGTGGCATAAATGAAAACTAGATTATAGAAAAGTAGTTGGGGACAAAGTGAATGACATAATTAACTATGACCTCATTTAAACTACATATGTAGATATTTTAATTTAAGCTTTTTTACTAAGGCAAAGCTTCTGTACTCAATATATATGAAAGAAATGCTTATATTAAAAAAAAAACGCACTTTTGTGGCTGGGCATGGTGATGCACACTTTAATCCCAGCACTCGGGAGGCAGAGGCAGACAGCTCTCTGTAAATTCAAGGTCAGTCTGCAAAGTGAGTTCCAGGCAAGTTGGGGCTACAGGGAGACCCTGTCTCAAAAAGACCATAAAGTCATAAGACCAGTTGCGAAAATAATGCAGATTTGTAATTGATAAAAGGTAATATATGTAGAGCTTTCTTAATAAATTGTCAACAAATAATATAGATTAGTAAGAGTACAATAGGATCATGAACATAGAATGTAAGCCATATCATTTATAGAAAAACTGTGAACTGGATTTTATTTTAAAGTAGCTTTTTTAAAAAATTACTTATTTTCTTTGAATATAGAAATATTTTCTCTTCAACCATACTTCTGTGGGATAATAATTTGTTCTTTAGATGTTTTAGTGTAGTGTCCTGCTTTTTAGAAGTGGTTTTGGCAGAAACACTGAATTATGGCACAAGATAGCCCTATAAATTTCTGTTTTAAATTACATTGTTGCTAAGCAGAGGAAGTTGTTGAGTGAGTGCCCTTTCTGTAAGGGTATAACAGTCTGTGAGGGGAACATCTCCAATGGGTCCTCATACCCATACTCTTGTTGTGGCCTCAGGCTTCAGTGGGATGTTATTGAATAGGGAATTGGGAAGAAATGTCTCAGTTGACTGCCCAGAGCTTCTGGGAGCCACCTCTAGCCAGCACTGATTGATTAAGCACTGGAAACATTTGATGGTCAGTATAAATCAGCTTAGGATATAAGCCTTAGTGTACTCATCTTGAAATGTCTTGGAATTTCAGGTGCTAAAATGATGTATTTTCTGGACAAGTCAAGGCAAGAGAAAGCAGTTGCTATAGCCACTAGGGTGGACGAAACAATAAAAGATAAAAATGTGAAGGTAAGAGGTTTTTACAGGCTGATTTATGAATATTGAACGATCTAATAAAACATGTACCTTAACAGCATTTTTTTTTTGTGGTCTTTTTGAGATAGGGTCTCCTTGTAGCCCCAGCTGGCCTAGAACTCAAAGAGATCTGCCTGCCTCTGCCTCCCAAATTGCTGGGATTAAAGGCAAGTGCCACCACGCCCAGCTACAGCATAATTCTTAAGTGAATCTAAGGAGTTGTGCCTGAATGCAAATCTCAGCCCCAGCAGTTATTACCCATGTGGCTCTAGGCAAGTTGCTGTTCCTTTTCTGATTTTGGAGATGAAGGTGGAAGTGCTACCTCTCATATAATTGGAGTTTGATTTAAAACTGAAACAACAAAGCAGGAGGTGCCTAGTGCCTAGCTCAAATTTTAGAATTTATTGTCTTTTTAAGGTTTTTTTAGAGTGTCTCCGTTTGTTAGCTTTTTTTAAAAAACAAAACAAAACAAAAAAGAACCCAGCATCTGTTTATTGGGGAGGGGACTATACACCATGACATGAGTGTGGAGGTCAGAGGACATTGTGGGATTTGATTCTCTCCTACCATCAAGTCCCCACAGATTGAACTCGGGTTGTCAGGCTTGGTGGCAGTGCCCTTACTTGCTGAGCTATCTCACCCATCCCTTTTCCCTTTTTTTTTTGAGACAGGATCTTGCTATGTAGCCTAGGCAGTCCTTGAAGTTGGAATCCTACCTCAGCTTCCTGAGTGAGTGCTGGGATCAGAGGCCTGTGGCACCATAACCAGCTAAGATGGCTTTTAATGTTTTATTTTGTTTTGTTTTGTTTTGTTTTGTTTTGAGACAGGGTTTCCCTGCAGCCCCAGCTGGCCTGGAATTTACTTTGTAGACCAGGCTGGCCTTGATCTTACAGAGATCCGCCTGTCTCTGCCTCCCAAGTAGTGCTGGGATTAAAGGTATGCATCACCATGCCTGGCTGGCTATTTATGTTCTTTATCAAGATGATTACTTACTGTAGATAAGAAGAAGCTATTTTAAACTGAGACTGTCTCTAGGTTAAAGTAATAAATTTTATCTTGATTAAAGTCATTAGCTGACCAGCTTTTCTTCTTTAAATAATTGACATTTCCCCCTTGTGTCATCAGATTTTAATAAAGGTTTCTGAAGCACTACTCAATGGCAGCTTTGGGAACTGTAGTTCCCAGTATGAAGAATACAGGAAGGCCTGTCATAACCTGCTTCCATTTGCATCTGCCTTCCTGCCACCTGTGAAAGAAACCCTCAGTCCTGCTGCAGCGCTGAACCACACAGCTGACTCTGATGTCTTGGCATGTGAAATTTGAAGTCTTGTGGGAAGTTGGCTCCCACAGACTCAAAGCTGAATTCACATCAGGGTTTCTTTTCTAGGTGAATTTTAATATTGGTAGGAAATGAAATATTTGCAAGTTTTGAATGGTATGTTGTATAAACTTTATTCTGTCTCTGTCAATTTATATAGATCTGTTAAAAATAACTTGTTTATACTTGTACAGCCTTAAACTCTTGAGTAATCATCACTGTTGCTTCTATATTATATTCAAGAGAGTTTCTGATGAAGTCGTAGACAGTGCTCTTGTGTAATTTTTTTTTTTTTTTTTTTTAGGCCAGGGTCCCCCTGAACCCCCAACTGGCCTGGAATTCACTATGTAGACCAGGCTGGTCTTGAACTCACAGAGATCTGCCTGCTTCTGCTTCCTGAATGCTGGGATTAAAGGCATGTGCCACCACACCCAGCTGTGTTATTTTCTCTAGCTCCTAGTTTCAGTATCTCTTGATCCCTTGTTTTATTTGTCATGTTTATTTGCTTGCTTATTGTATTTTAAAGTGTTAACTGTATATTAAGAAATATCTATATTTTTCATTTTGGTAGATACTGAGATTTGCTCCTTTTTCACTTAATTTTTCATGATTGGCCATTTCCTTTGTAATATATACAAAAATGACACTTCATGCTTTAATAAGAGTATTCTAGTTTTATGTTGATTCAGAATGTGAAGACTGGCTTGCCTCTTACCATGTAAATTTACTGGTAAGTTGGTTGTGTATCTATCCTAATCTTAAAGACTCACGTGGAGGAATTGTACTTTCTTCATTGAGTTGCTTAGAGTTAACAAGTAGCTTATTCTGAGAAGTGTGCTTCAAGGGAAGATAATAGGGCAAAATACTAATTAAAATACTGTCACCCTTACCATTCATTAACTATTAAATGAATTTTTAGATCTCTCAGTAAAATGAGAATTTAAACTATCATTAATTGAACTGCTAAATCATAGTGTTGTTAAACAATATTTGGGAGGGACCTTTTTGCTATATCTTATATAGCAAACAATATGTCTTAGCTGTGTAAATATGTCTATTATCTACTGCTCTTAAGCAGATGTAAACCCAGAGGGTGATTTTATTTAGATAAACAGCTCTAAGTGATTTTTCTTTTGTCTCTTTAGATTCATAATTTCTGAGAGGGGGACAAATTCACTGTAAAATAATGCCAACCTAGATAATGCATAATAAATTATTTTGTACAAAGTTGCCTATTTATATTTGCACTTATTATTATTCCATACTAGCAAAATATCTTTGTAAAATATTCATTGGAAGAGTAGAAACTTAATCATCTACATCTCTTCAGGGTTATAAAAATGTAATTCTCAATAACTATTTCCCAGTTATACCTTGTTGAGATTGGGGGTGGAAAGATGGCTTGATGGTTAGGAACATGTATTAGTTATTTTTCTGTTGCTGTGATAGAAACACTGACCAAACAACTTATAGAAGGAAGAGTTTATATGAGCTTACAGTTCCAAAGGGGCAAGAGTCCATCATGGCAGGGAAGCATGGCGGCAGAGAGGAGGAGTCAAAGCTAAACTCTCACATCTTCAAGCAGGCACAGGAAGCAAGAGAGCAACTTGAGATCTGGCAAGGCTTAAGAACTCTCTAAGCCTGCCCCAGTGACATGCTTCCAGCATGACCATGCCTTCTAAGACTTCCTAAAACAGCACCAAGAACTGGGGACAAAATGTCCAAATACTTGGAACCTATGGGGCACATTTTCATTCAAACCATCACAGAGCACTAGCTGCTCTTCCAGAGGACCCTGGTTCGATTTCTGACACCCACATGGTAGTTAATAACTATCAAAGATCTGCTTTCATCAGCAGCCTTTTAAAAAGTATTCCATTGGGGGGCTGGAGAAATGGCTCACAGTTAAGAGTCCTGACTGCTCTTGCAGAGGGTCGGGTTTGATTCCTAGCACCCACATGGCAGCTACCAACCATCCTTAACTCCAGTTCCAAGGGAATCCAAAGCCCTCTTCTGACCTCCACAGCATTGCATGACACAGGTGCACTCATATACATGCAGGCAATACACTCATACACATAAAATAAAAATAATATAATAAAAAGTATTCCATTAGAATCATACAGCAGTTTTGAGAGTTCTTTGTGCATGCACTTGAGATGTGAGGCATCAACTGAAGTCTCCAGTGGCAGACCTCAGGTACTTTGTGCCCTAAACCACCTGTACCTTAGCCAGAGCTGAGCTGTGGGTAGGGTAAGGGGTGCTTGGCATTGGGATCCCAAGGACTGTGCCAAGTTAGGATCATGGCTGACCAGATATACTGTAAGGACTCAGTCCAGTCACATAACCATTAAAAAAAAGGGGCTAATATTGGTTGAACTCTTTTTGTATGCATGCATCTCTTTCCTGACCTGCCCCTTGCTGCTCTCAACAGTTTAAATCACAAATCTCTTCAGCCAGATTTACTTCCTAAACTTCATAGTTGTGGTGTTATTATACTAACATTATAATTACCTGAAACAAATGAAAGCCTAACTCTTTTAAAAAATATTTTATTTCATGTGTGTATGAATGTATTGCCTGCATGTATGTAAGCGCACCCGTGTCATGCAGTGCCCTCGGAGGTCAGAAGAAGGCATCAGATCCCCTGGAACTGGAGTTATGGATGGTTGTTAGTCACCATATGGTTGCTGGGAATTGAACCCAGGTTCTCAGTCAGTGCTCTTAACTGTTGAACCATCTCTCCAGCCTGAAAAGCCCAACTCTTAAATGTAGTTTTTAAGAGAGGGCCTGAACTCGGAGGACACTCATTCCCCTAGATGTCTCTTGACACTGTCTCCTGGAACTGTACTGCTGGAACTCTGTCCTTGGAACTGTCTTCTGAGTATGGCCTCACCCATAATTTTATTCAAAATGGTTTCTCCAGCTTCAACTGGGAAAGTACAAGCTTGGCTCCACTTTCCTTAACAGACCATCAGGCCTTTCTTTCCTGGTTCTAGAATATCTCATTCATCCAAGGTCATCTGTCCTTCCCAATCTCTACTTTGTCCGTGGAGCTGGGGTATCACCTCAGTGCTTTGATATGTTAATTCTCAAGCATATCAACATTCATTCATTATCTTTTTGGATGGAGTACCAAATTGAGGTTGTCTAGGAAACTAGATCAGGTGCCAAGGTCATAAGACACAAGATCACATTATTTTGCTGGGGTTAATGAAATGTCATTAGTCAAGATATGTCCATCAATAAAAGTCATTCCCACACATAGTTATATGTCTCATACACAGACATCATCAAATGTTACATTGTGGTTTGAATCCTAAAGTTGTCTCTATCAGGTATTTTGGTCATAGCATTACAAAAGTAACACAGAAAGTTGGTAGCAGAGAAGTGGGGTCATTGCTATGATTAAACCCAACCATGTGGTTCATAGGCCTTTGTAACTGGTTTCTAGGAGGAATGAGTTTGGAGATGTGGGCTAGAGAAACTAGAATGCTGTAAGCAGAGCTTAATGGGCCACTCTGGAGAAAGTTTGACAGTCATGAATGGCATGAAAAATGTAGACAGTGGAGGCCCAGCTTAACTACTGGGGACTGAGCTAGTTCCTATTAGAGCCTGGCAGAGTCTGGCTCTATTTTGCCTATGTCCTGAAATTCTGAGTACAACTAAATTCAAAAGTAATGAACTCATTAACTTAGCAGAGGAAAATTCAAGACACCATACTCTTTAGGCTGTGGTATGTTTGTCCCTGGCTGGTATGAACTTGGTAAAAAGTACAAAGTGGCTACAGTTGTCAGGACTTAGCACTACAAAGGGGACACTGCCACTTGGCATAGGAAAGTATCTCCCATCAAAGGTTCTATCATGTAAAAATGAAAGTCATTTGAAAGACTTTCATTTTAAGAAGTACTGAAGCAGGGTCCTGTTGGAAAGGGCCATTTAGGCAACCCATTTCCAAGGTTGAGAGGTACAGGCATTCTGGGGCTACTGCAGCTGTGGTCCATGGGCAGCCAGCTACTACTTGAGTTGGCAGCAGAACTTGACATTGTCCATATGGTGCTGGTTTTGCAGGCATGCAGATTCTAAGAGTTAAACCGGGGAAAGGGGGGGAAAAAAAAAAAATCTTTCAAAAAAAAAAAAAAAAAAAAAAAAAAAAAAAAAAAAAAAAAAAAAAAAAGTCTTGCAGGAAGCCCCAAAGCAGGATATGTACAATCCAAATGGGTTTTTCTCAGGGCTACACAGTTTCAGCCCAGAGTTGGATCCAGACCTGTTCCTTTCAGCTCTGACCTCTGTTCCTCTCTGTGGTGCTCAGTAACTATCCAGCGTCTATCATTTGTTTGGCCTTGAATGTTAAGGTCTTGTCAGCTTGGCAAGGAAGTCTCTGATGGCAGGTCCTGGCTAAGCCCATAGCTAGCACTCATATTTGTTCCCTGCTTTGTTTATGCCCCTATACTTCATCTGTGTTAATGCATTTGTTGACAAGTGCTTCTGGGTCATAGTTTCTGAAACTTTGAAGTGTACGATCAGTTCATTATTTCCCCACTGGAGGGCAAGCTTTCCTACTCTATTTCCTGTTCTGGTTTCTTAAGAATTAGCATCTGTCCGTCAGCCTGAGTTGGTTTCTGTTTCAGTTCTTTCAAGGCAGTGCCCCGTCCCTGCGAGTGTTAAATATGGATGCTCCTCTTCCTGTGTGGTATGTAGATTTCAGATCCTGTATGCCCCTGACTGTTGCCTTCTGCTAAGTGTGAGTTTGGTTACCTGGCTGACTGTTTAATTGGAATGTGAGGGTGCTGGAAGAAAGCCTTGAGCCCAGGGTCAGAAGAATCAGGACTGGTCTCTGGCAGATCCCACCCTCCCTGGTGGGATTTGTTGACAGGATGAGAAGGATTTTCTAGGCAACAATATCCTGTGATCATTTTCAAACTAGAAGGCCCATTTTGGTTACTTCACCTGGCACCGAGTAAGTCCAATATAATAGGAAGGAATGGTTGGCTTCTCAGCATTCAACATAGAATACATCTTTAGCCAGGTGTTTTGGTATTTTTTCCCACATAGACCAGTTCTCTGATACCAGCTGGGTATCCTATAATTCATTTTAATTCTGACCTTGTCTGCCTGAACTCAGCATCAGATCCTGCAGATTAGGGACTTCAGTCCCATGAGACTGCCAGTTGGAAGTCTAGACCTCTAGCACTTCTGACTGACTAGCTATAAATCAGTGGCTCCATGACCCTTCCCTTGGGTTAAAGCATTTGCTAGACTGGCTGACAGAACTCAAGGAAGTACTAACTAGTTTATTACAAAGAATATTACAAAGGATGCAGATGTTCAATCAGATGGAAGAGATGCATAGTGCAAGGATGAGGGAAGGGTTTGTGACTCTTCCATGTCTTTGGGATACCCCGCTGTCCTTGCACTTCCACATGTTCTTGGGAACCTAGAAGACCCTCAAACCCTGTCCTCCTGGATTTTATAAAGACTATAGGCTCAGTGATTTAAAAAGTGGCCATAAATCATCAACTCAATATTTAACCTGCTTCTCTCCCTAGAGATGGGGATGGAATGGGGTCAAAACTCCAAGCCTCTATGGTTGGTTTTTCTCAGCATCAACTCCAACTAAATGCTCTCCAGGATCCCCAGCTACCAGTCAACTCCTTATTTCAAGGGTTCTAGGTGCTGTGTGCCAGGAAATAGCACCAAAACCCAAAGATACACATTTCCTTTCGTCAACATTTTGCAGTTTATTTTATTTAAAACTAATTTTGCATCATGCATTCACTCCATGCACAGTTCACTGCTGTTGCATAAATATTTGTTGGTTAAATGATATAATAATTTGACATTCATTTGATTTCTAAAGATACTTTACAATTTTGTTTTCTAATTTTTTTTTTTTTTGGTTAGCCTAAAAGGAAAGAGTTTCATTGTGACATTTTCATACATATTGTTATACTTTGTTTTTCATCTCTCTCATATACACCCTGCCCTCCTTCACCCATGTCCACTTGCTAGTCTGTTTTTATAAATAAAAAAAAATTATGTGTATGAGTGTATTGGCTGCATGTATGTAAGTGTACCCGTGTTGTGCAATGCCCACAAATGTAGAAGAGGGCATTGGATCCCCTGGAACTGGAGTTACAGACGGTTGTTAGCCACCATGTGGGTTCTGGGAACCAAACCTGGGTCCTCTGTAAGAACAGCTGAGCCATCTCTCCAGCCCC